ATGTAGATGTAGATATATATATATATAAATAATATCAAACATGAAAGCAGGTGGGTGATGAAGTGTCGATCCGTGGTTGATGTCGCTCAAATTTGATTCTGCAGTTTGGATTCTGTAGATCAGTCTGTTAAGTCCCGCTTCTAAGCAAGGCGCCGCAGACTTAAGCAAACTATCACGTGAAGTGGACTTGTCCTGCCTAAGTCTTTGCTTGTGACAGCTTGGATTCAGCTGCTGTTCAACAGTTCAACATGCTGCGTCAGCATTGTGTATTGCGCCAGTTGTCGTGGTGTAAACAAGCTTGTACTGTTAATGAATTCGGGCTCTGGGATGCAAAAGCTATGATGCCCGTTGCCATGTGTACTGTAGGAGCTGATCCTCACCAGTTGCTCGCGGTTTACAACTACAAGCTTCAGAGGTTCCGCCCAGACCCACGGTGAGTCTTCTAAAGCCTGCAGCATCGGCACACCCTAGACCGCCTAGACCTGCAGTGCCACGAAACTCATAAAGTGCAGTGTGCAGATCACGGCCATCATCGTCGGTGCTTCGATTGCTGGCGTTGGCCAGCTGGCTGATTCAGTCCTGGTCGGGTTTGAGGTGGTGGATCTGAGTCTTGCAGGTACTGTCTGCATTCCGTGAAACTCGGGTCATGATCAGTTTCGGCTAAGCTTGTGGTGGTTTAGATCGCTGAAGGAAAACCTACCAAACCAACGACCTTTCACAATCAGAAAGATACTCGTGGAAATAGCCATTCGGAAGCCTTGGTACATTGGTACATGACAGCCGCGTCGGATGACTACTTCTGGAGGTAATGTGCTTAAGCATGATGTCCTTTACGAGGATGACCATCATTGATCATCATCATTAGCATGGCAGTGTTGTCCCTGTGTCACCTACATCATCATACCCCAAGACCTGGCAATCCCATGGTTTTGATCTGGTTGTTACTGGTGCTGTGTGAACTGCTGTAACGGGAGCTCCAAATAGCATTTGAGCGTGCCTCAGGGGTTTAGGTTTGAATAATACTTGTTGGCGTCTTCATGTTGAGGTACACATGATTGCCACATTAAACTTCATTGGAACAGCTCTTGCCAGGGGTACTTCAGCTTTGCAAAAGGTCCAGTGCCATCTCAGAGCACAAGACGGCCACTATCACCCTAGAAGGCCAAGAGTCAAGCATAGAAATTTGGTGCCCCGAGCCTGTGGGCCCAATAGCCTTCTCTTCGCTTCCGGCCACTTCCAGGAACCCGCCTTGGCAATGTCTGCGTTTGGGAACATGGTGTGCTATGGCAAGCAGTTCGAGACGGGTGAATGGTTGCTCAAGCAGCGGGTGTCGGGCTACAATCAAACAGAGTATACTATCCTTAAGAGTTTTTGTTACAACCTCGTGCTGTTTTTGGTTTATGTGTGCTTTCTTAACGAGTAGACAGGGGAGCATAGCAGACATGTGCATATGCACACACACGTGTATATATATATATATAATATACACACACATGCACACATGCATATGTTTGCTCGTGTTTGTGTACGTGCCGGAACAGTGATGCATCGCAACAATGGCGACGAGATCCAGAATCTTGAGGTAGGTTTCATCTTGGCTTGTCACCGTGCAGATGCTGCAGTGTTTCCGAGATCGACCAAACCCTGCCGGAAATCGCCAAACCTCGACAGGCTGTGCACATAGGATATATATATATATGGCACTAGAGTTTTTGGTTCAAGACGTGGGCAATGGATGCAGCCTTCAGTGTTTCAGCCTTCAAGGGTGCATCCGAATCACTTCTACGTGGTATGTTTTTTGTTTTAATGGTTTTCTAGGTGTAATGAATACCAGAAGAGTATGTCTTCCCCCGGGCTTTCGCAGCGGTCCCACTAGAACGGTCTCGTTTTGACCTGCTGGCTTTCCACAAAGGCCCTGTGCTGCTGGCCACAGCCACTTTAAAAGCATGAGCAGCGACGCGCCCCCCAACCATAGCCGTAACCAAGATAGCCGACCCTACATCGTCAGCCCCGGCTGCTACCACAAGTCGTGCTTTGTTTGCCTATGACCCAGGTCATAGACTGTCATAGACCTTTCCACATCGTGTGATCGACATAGATCATCGATGACAATAACGCGCAGCAAAGCACGTGCTAAACTCACCCCCACGAGAAAACGAAACCGCATTCATGCCTGCCCTTGCAAGTCCTGCACATTCCTCCTGCCTGAGGTCACCAATGTGCGGACGCTTGGTCATGAATACGCCGGCTGTGCTTATTTTAACAGGATCTTCACCTTGTTTCAGCCAGCTCCTGGTCGCACCCTGCTAGTACGGGATCAAAGAGCACCCTAAACTCCTAAACCTCAGATCTCCGAACCTTACCTCGCTTCTTCACCCCAAGGAAGATACCAATGTGCAATTCGTGCATCCATGAGCCGTGGCTCGCATTGGCACGCCATGTGCAAGCAGGAAGTATCCTACTCAGCCCAGGGTTTAGGATGCAGGAGGAGAGCTGGAGATGCTGACGCCAAATCTTTCTGAGCCACCGTGAAGTCAGCTGAGTCTTTGGCGACGGATTCCGATGGTTTCTTCGTAGCAGCTGGAACTGGTGACGGGCGCATTGTGGTCTGGCCTCTAGGTGCCGGCCTGAGGAATCTCGCGGGGAGGACTGTGATTCTAGGGCTGCAGAGAATTGTGGCGTTGGTTGCCAGGGTATAGACTCAGACGGAAAGGCCGCTGAGATCTGCAATTCGGGGCTTGGGCTATAGCAAATTCACTCCATACTTGGGTTCCTTAGAGGGCGCGCGGCGTGCCTTGGATGTTTGTAGTACCGAAAGTCGATGTTCTATACCTTTTCGTCTCGCGAAAGCGGTTGTTCTATCGATGAAGAGCAATTCTTCTCACGAAAGCCCTTCCCTACAAGCCCAACAAGGCCCTGCAGCGACCTCAGATCCTGCACTGACCTTTAGTCGGGGTGAGCCTCCTTGTTTGGCGATAGGATGTATGCTGTCGTCACCGCCCCGGGCTGTCATCTCACATCTTTTGGTGTCAAAAGTGCCCTAAGCAAGGCCTCCCAACATGCCTGAGACTTCGCGAGCCTTTGCAGGCAACGGCGGCGAGCCCTGGATCACGGAGCACTCTCGCTTGACGCTGTGGCACAACAGGCTTTTTGTACGTACTTCAGCACAAGTCACAGGTTTAGGGCCCCTCAGGTCTGCTCTTAGCATCTCCGACTTCCATGAGAGTTCAATCCCGAAGCTCCTGGCCCGCTCACTCTGGTAGACACTCTGAAAGGCCTGAATTAAGCCGGATACCCTCGGCCCGAAACCTTCCTAAACCCAAACATGCCGAACAAGGCCTGTTCTTGGTTTGGCTTTAGCTCCAAACTTCGGGGCGCAGAAGGACGAGGGTTCGGGGTACTCAGGGGGATTCCGGTTTAGGTTTGAGGGTCTAAGGTGTACGGTTTAAGTTTAGAGTTTAGGGTTCTGTGTAGAGAGACAGAGGATTGAGGGTCCAGGACTCGCAGGGTTCAAGTTGTGTTTTGGACCCTTGTAAACCCCCCCGGAGATGCTCACGGCCCCAACAAAGGTTATAGTTAGAGAAAACCGACATATATCCTGTAAGTAGTATATTGAAGTATTTTATCGTATGCTGCAGTTCGTCTTGATCGCTTTGTGATAATGAGGAGGCCTTCATCCTGTGCTTTCAAGCAGCCCACAGTAGGTTCTTCCCAAAGCTGGCATGATAGTTCTACACTGGGAGCCCAGAAGGGCAGATGAGTGCTCGGGAAAACGCTTCCGGCGGGCGGGTGTTGGGCGCCGGCGATTGATGTGCTATCGCCTGTGGCACAGCTGACAGCGAGCGGGAGAGAGGGAGAGAAGAAAGGATTTTCGAGTTCGGCTTGAGGCTCAGGGTTTGTCGCAATTAGCTCTCCTGGCCAACGGTAGGGGTACTTAGCCTCTGGACGCTGGACAGTGAAACTGGGCATCTACGCAGTAAAGCTAGCACCAAACAATATCTCGATCGGTGTGTATGGAAGCCCTGACAATTAGTAACACCATTCCTGAAGGTTCCTGGTTACAGGTATACTATAACATGCCCCAAAGCCCTTGTCACATGATGAATATCACTTGAGTTGCTAGAATGGCACTCTCATCAGGAAGGTCTTATGCAATGCTGAAAAGTTCTCAAATCCGGCTCCGAAGCCAGCTCCTCACACATTCTGTAGTTTAGGGCACGCAGGTTACAGGGCGCCGACTTCATGAAACTGCTGGGCTTGATCTCGGTTGCAGGACACGTTTGCACTCTGCGCTGGAGGCGATGATGGCCGCAACTAGGCCCCACAGGCTTCAGTTCTTAGACCGAGGTACCAACACCGAGGGATTCGTAGAGTCCTGTGCTCAAGGGTTACGCGGCTCGAGCTCGCTGGCGAGATAGAGCCTCGAGATATCTGTGGCAGTTCCAGTTCCGGTTCCACACTATTCAAATCGAGTCGGGATCGGCTCGTAATGGGAAGATTGAGATTCTACAAACTGCTGCTGCTGGCGCTGCTTCTGCTGCCGCTGCTGCTGCTCGTGTTCCTGCTACTACTCCCGCGCTACGCTACTGCTGCTACTTTGACAACGACGACGTCTAATCATGACAAATGATAGCAATGATAAGCATAATCAAACTGGTATGACGAGGAAGCCGTTCTGCTGTTCAGGCACGAGCTTGTCGCTACCAAGCGGGCTTGAGGTGCAAGAGCCAGCAACATTTTATCAGGGAGCAACACTCAAGCCTCAGTAATCTGTAGCTGTTTTTTCATTGCCCCCTGTAGCAAAGCATGGTACAATCACCGGTTTCAGCACCCTGCCCCTTTGCATGCAGTATTGTTGTGTTTTGAACCCTAGAGCTTGCAACACAGCCACTGCAAATGAGAACGACTTAGGGCCGCGCGCCGTCAAGGATTCTCCGAAAGTCAGGGACCCTTTTATTACAGAGCTTGCAGGACGCCTTATTAGGAAATCCCCTTCCCCACTTGCTGTAAGAAAGCTTCAACTGTCCCGCACCCGAGAAGCTACTGAGGCTTGATCCTGCACCGACGAACTTTTCTGGGTGGCCAGACGCTTCTGCATTCCGGAGAAGGGCCGATCAATCAGGCTGTTCGGGATGGGATGCTGGGACTCCTGAAACATATTACAGCACATTTACGTTACACAGTGACGATAGGGAGAGAGTACAGTAAGATGCACCTCGTCATTGCCATCGTGGCAGCACCGGCTAGTCTCCCCCCTTCTAGCATGGCAAGGTGCGCTGGCGGGCCTCCCTCATCGCTTGGGGCAACGAGAAGGGTGCGACTCCCAAAGTTGTTGCTGGTTATGATGGTGACAGTGTTGATGCACCGATGGGCATAAAGACGAACACCGCCATGATCGTCTTTGTGTTGACGGTGTCTGTCAGAAGATGGCAGCGATGCCATTACCGGTGACGAAGCGCTACACGTTCGCTCGGTAACACCGGAGTGCTGCGTTTGCACCTGAGGCGTGAAGGTCTACAACACCGCGACCTCTCAGAAGGCATCCCGCCCAGCAGGAGTCGGTTCGGTGCATGCAGAGTCTAGAGCCATGGCTCGGATTGCCTGGCTTCGGATTGTCTTGAATTGTTTCAGGACGGGCTTTCGACATAATCACCCTCCCTCTTGCCGCGATTTCTGTATCCTTGAAGACGGACCCCTGCTTTAACCATGAATCCCGCATTCACCTAACCCATCCCAGCCATTTCACTCTGAAGCCCTAAACTCTACGCCCTAAACTTGGGTGGGAGGGAAAAAGCCTGGGTGGGACAAAAACCTTAAGCCCTAAAGATCGAGTGCTCTTCAGGTCACCTATGTGCCCCGACCTCCGGGAGGGGGACGCGTGACGGGGCTTCTTTGGATCTCGGATGACCAGCCCCTGGGCTTTAAGAGGGTTTTGGAGTTTGGGATTTGGGATTTCAGGACATGGTGAGGGCTGTACGGATCGGAGCGAGAGCCTTGGAGGCCTTATGAAACCCTTTTGACTGACTTAGTGGCACATCCTCTAAACCCTAAACACGATAAGCCCCTAAACCCCGTTGGCCCAGTAAGCATAAACCGTAGATAGCACTTCCAAGCCACCCTTACTGGCCTTCAAGCTCAAACCACACTGAGAAGACCCGATCTACGTCGAACAATTGCTAACCAATTGGCCCTTGGGGTAGGGTGCTTAGGGTTTAGGCTCTTTGAGCCTGTAGGAAATGTGCCCTCAGGCTCAAACTTGCCCGAAGGGCTTGCTAGCTATGCTCTTGGGAGCTAGAGTGCATGTGGCAGAAGAATTCAAAATCTTTGGGGGCTTAGTTTGAGGCTGGCCATGTCTTGGTCCTCCGTGGTGAAACTGGCGGTGATCCTCCCCGCGGAAGGCTCCAACCTGCCACTTGGAGTTGAAGCACACATAATCTGACTTGACCAGGCACGATAGTGCGGTAGTAGAATGTAGGATGTAGCGTCACTATAGTATGCATAGATGCTTTTCTCGTACATGTAGGTGCTCTGGAAGCCAATCGAGAAAATGAGATTGCGTGCACGTGCCAGAGAGAGAGAGAGAGAGAGAGAGAGAGAAACATAGGCCAGTCAGGTTTCGTTGCCGTCTTACAAGCACATCGAATGTACTAGCACTCCAGAAGCACACGGTCCTAAGTCATGGTCCACATACGAACCTGCACCATGGGCGTGTCGGTGCCCTGAAATGGACCGCTGTTTGGATCTAGGGTGCGGGAGGGACGGGGACTTGAGTTTTGCAAAAGCTAGGCGGCCTAAGTCCTAAGTCCGGTCTGTTCCTCTGGGAACAAAGAGTCCGGTTACAAGGCACGCGAGGGTGAGCACCGAAACTTTGTAACTTGGGCAGAGTTGTCAGTCAAGGCTATGATAATTTGTAGCTCATGTGGCTCCAGCGAAGCCTAGCTGAGTCCTGCAGTCCAGGTATGCCCAGGTGCGACACGACCTTCCCTGTGCGGATGTGAGTCTGGTTTTGCAATGTGGTATTTAAGTGTACTAGGGCTTACGGTGCCAAAGTCTTTATTTTTATGATTTCACACGCCGTCTGCAATTCCAATCCGCACGACAGGACCAGTTGAGCCAACTAGTTGAGTCCTCCATCCACAGCTTCACAAGCACTAGAGCCTCCAGAAACCTACACCCAACGGAGTGAGTGCCGGCGGGTCGGGTGTTCAGTATGCAAACAGGAGGAGGGATGGAAACACAACTCTACACGTAGCCTGTTCGTTTGCTCTGCGAGCTTCAGGGGTTCAGGTGTTGAGGGTTCGACTCCTCGGTTCAAGGCTCTAGGCATCAGGAATCAGGAAATAAGGTCTAGGGATCCAGGGTTCAGGGTTTAGGAGTGAATCATGTTTGAGCTCCCAAGGTTCAATCGGGTCGGGGATAAACCACCACAAATAGAGGGCGACTCCCATCACAACTTTCCACCTTTGAGCCCTCGAGCCCGAACCCTCCAAGATGTTCTGCTGCCCCAAAGCCACCGGATAAAAGCCCGAGCCGATGGAAGCTTAAACTCTTCCGCGCCCAAATCTCGAAACCCGCGAATCTAGGCCCAAAGCCCAGATCGAAACCCGAGCTTTGTAGAAAACACCATAGGAGGCCGAACAACCGATCCGATACAGGGCATAAATCTTCGGACGAACAGCGGCGAACGCCTTCTATAGTCATGTTCTAAGATACAACAATCCTTGCACCCTAAACCCTGTTCTGTGACAAAGAGGCCCTGTTCTGATCATCACGCACCCGATATTACCCCTAAACCCTAATCCTATTAACCCTATAAGCCTAAACCCTAAACCCATGTTTTTACACTTTTTCTTTCCGGTGGCCCGAGGATCCACGGCTTGGGCCTCGCCGGACCGGGGGCGCTCAGCACCCTCGAAGTGACGGGCAGGTGAGGAAGTGGGGGGGGGGCTCTGTTATTTGGGTTTAGGGTTAAGAGCTTGGGGCTTAGAGCTTTCAATGGTTTATGTATGGGATTCCAGTGAAGAAGGCGAGGATGGTAGTCGTCAGGGTTTACCGTACTGTGCCTTGTCTTCGAGGGCAGTGAACAATCTGGCTCAGCTTCTGGACGCTGATTTGAAGGATGGCTCAGGGAGGGCATTTGGCGGGACTCGGGGTATTGTACGGCGATGTTGCAGGGTTTGGGTGTTCAGAAGAAGCTATGTTCTGTTGATGTAGAGGTTTGCAAGATTTGCTGCTGGAGCTTTCCTACCGGCTTTAGTAGGGGAATTTGAGTCGATTCAGTCACAACAATACAACACTGCAGATGAAGCTCCAAACGACCCCATGAACAAGCGATGCCTTCAGGTTCCAGGAACCCCGACGGCATGTTTCCTGAATGGAACCGCCGCGTATGAGAAGCCGAATTTGTCACTGGAAAAGCCTCACCGCTAAACCCCAAACCCAAAAGCCCAAAGCCTAAACCCTGCAATGCGGGCTTGTCCTAGCTAGGTGGGAGGCAAAAAAGTCCAAAGCCGAAAAGCCACGAAGCTGACCCCCCATGATTGGCAACTTGAGCAATAATGACAATAATCCTGATCTTCGCAGTCACAATGATACCAACAGTATCAAACGACACATGCTAGTAGCGATGCTGTAGAAGAGTCATAAGTCACAACAACAATAGAAAAAACAATGTTATCTTAACCAAGACAACTAGAGCCACACCCTAAGCCTTAAACCATATCAGTTAGAGCCCTAAACCCTAAACCCTATCAATAGTCGTCGTGTACTCCAGGATTCCTCGCTTGTGGGCATTGATCCTTAGCCATGCGAGAGGGGAGAAAAACCCTGGCTAGGCTGGGAGGGCAAATCCTCCTAAAACCCCAGAGCCCTCAGCTCCAGGTCGGCTTTCCTGAAACTGCAGGGCCCCTCTTTGGGAGGCCTCTTCCATGCCGTGGAGATCCCCTTCTCCCGAGGCCACCGGTTAGGGCTCCTTTTTAAGGGGTATACGGTATGCTATAGGGTTCCTTTAAGGGGTTCTTAAAGGGTTCCTAGAAAGGGACGGTTTAGGGTTTTAGGAGGGGTGAACACTACTGCTGGATCTTAGGGAAAAGGGTCCAAGTATCAATTAGGTATATCTATGTATATATATATATATCCATTCTCGAAATCCGAGGTACTTGGCATGAGAATCCGGCTTTAAAACCCCTAAACCCCCCTAGACACTGAAGCCCTTAACGAAGAGCCTAAACCCTAAAGTTGCAAAATGAAGCACTGCCAGGGGCCTTCCACAGTCACCTCTTTCTCCAGACGGGTGCGCCGCACCTTCCTATGCTAGCGGCAGGGCCGCGGGACCTGCTGATGCTTCCCACCTGCAAGGGGCTATAGGGTTTAGGGTTATAGGGTTATAGGGTTTAGGGCTATGGGTTTAAGTTGAAGGCTGAGGGAGTCGACGGCTTCAGGCTCCGGCTGAGTTGAATCCAGGTTTGACGTAAAGGATTGCTAGAGGCGATGCAGGACTGTCGAGTGTAGGCTTTGTGCTTGCTGAGGGCCCAATCAGGAGAAGTATTCGTTCTTCCCCCGTATAACTTACAGTCGACCATACCTCCATATCCAAAGCAGACACCTACCGGCCCCTATGTCTGGCTCTAATCTCAGAGCTGGCAGGTTGTCGCTTACAGTGGAATAAGGGCACAATGTCTGGCAACAATCGATAATGACGATGAGGGTGCCACTGAACCTGATAGTCTTACAGCCTAAACCCTCTCCCCTTAAAACCCAAAAAGCTGAAGCAGCCGGAAAGCTAATGGCGAATGCATAGAAAAGCCGTGGTCATATGCAAGCATGTGTACGCAATCCTAAGCCTTGAACACGAAGCGAAATCCTAACCTCAAACTAAACGCAAGCCTACAGGGCATTTAACCTGGCCAGCTACTGGCAACACGCATGTTTATTTAAACAAATGTTGGGAGCCCGAAGTATCCGCTATAGATTGCCTGGGATGTCTACTATGGCTGAGAGGGTTTCAGACTTCGGGACATGGAAGTTCTTTTCAAGCCAACCTAGTCTAGATTCTAGATGGGCTTGGGTGGCTTCTATGGCCTTTCGGCTTCGTGGCTTTAGGGCTTGGCCATCGCCCCGCGTCTGTTATGCCGCTGGGTTTAGGCTTTCTTGGCCTCGAGGTTTCAGATCAGGGACCTCCTGGAGTATGCTGCTTGGCCGAGATGCTATGCACATGAACTCGCCAGGTGTGTGGGGTTACCTATGCAGCTCTTCCACAGCTTCGTGTTGGTAGCATGAGCAGCTGTTACCAGGGGATTCCTGTGGTAGTGCCGGTTCTCTAACAGTAAACCGTCTGTTGTCTGTGCAGTTAAGTCTGCTGCATATGGAGATGTAGCCCACTGTGGTCAGAGGAGGTACTCATGAACATGGTTTCCTTGGTGCTGTCCTGCATTGACTAGTAAACGCAACACTGCCAAGTCTAACACTGATGCCCTTAGTCGTATGAGGACTAACCCGAAGCCAATCAAAAACCCTAAGACTTGCAATTAGGAAAACCAGCTGAGGCGGTGCAGCTTCTCGAAGAGGGGAACTTTGACGAAGCTATCCGTTTGGCCAATGGGGGTGGTGAGGGCATCCAGGGCCTGCGGCACATCGTCTGCCTGAAGTATCCCGGCAATGCTTCAGGGCTCGAGCCGGCCCGAAATCACCGAAGATGGACTACAAAGGAGCTCGTCTACCGCGGGCAACGAACCGACGGAAATCCCAATTGCTTGTAGGTTTGCTGTTGGTGGCTCTGCAGAGTTCGGGGTTTTGCAGCTTGACAACTAAGGTTTTGGGGTGAAGAATTTAAGGTTTTAGGTTTCTGCTTCACATGCACGCTACAGTTGGAAGGCCAGAGTTTCTGCTGAAGCCAATGCAAGGTGTCTAACGCCCGACGTCAAGGATGGGAACTTTGTGCGAGCCTGCCAAACTTTGCAGCGTTTTAGAGACTTGGGCTTGGGCAGCGAATTCTCAGGATTTGCCTTCATAGAAATAGAGTCGTCGTGACCTCTGAATTTGGGAAGGGTGGCTTACATCAATTCAATGAGTTCAAGTTGCCTTCAAGGCCCCTGAGATGGGGCTTGAAGCCCTTCGAGAGAGACTTCTGGGTTTGAGAATTTTCAAGTTCAATTCTCGAAGGCGCGTTTTGAGGTCGCTGTTCAGAAGTCAAAGCAGATATAATTCAGAATCCAGAAGGTGCGGAACCCAAGCAGTGTCCTTATATTACCCTTGCAGGTACCCTTGTAGAACCCCTTGAAATTAAAACCTGAATGCTACAGCTTTGGACTACGCTCAGGACATCTGGAAGCACCTACCTGGCAGGACTCTGCGAGACCGGGTTTTTTAAGTTTGTTGATAATGTAATAATGTCGCCGTAGGCGATGTTGTAAGTATTCCTGGGATGTTAGGGCCTGATATACTATGCGATGTTAGGGTCTGAAGCGCTAGAATGCTAAAACCCCAATACGGAGGTTAAGGAGCATATTCCTTTCGTAGTCGTGCTTCCTGCTTTGAATGTATGTTGGGTGCTTGCCCGGTTGCCGTGTCCTGACCTGCCATGTTCCCTTAAAGGAATATCCTTGATGGTTGAGTTCGCACCTCAGCAGTGGAAGTTCTAGACGCCATGTTGGGCTGCAGAGCACCTGAAGCCTTTCACATGGCCAGTCCCGAGAGAGAGAGAGAGAGAGAGAGAGAGAGAGAGAGAGTAGCCATTTTGGCTCAAGTGCTGCACCTTTGCTTAGGGGCCTGTGACACCCCTTTGCATCGGGGAGGGGGGTGGCTGGTTGACTAGGGGTGTT